GAATTTACTTCTGGAGTTTACTTGGCACTGAAACATTTTAACAGAAATACCCTGAACTCTTGAATCATATTTTAGAGAAGTGTACTTCTGCAAAATTCATTCACAAGACTTTGCCGCTGCAAATTGGACTATAATGTACTCATTGTCTGGTCTATGAAATATAGTTTTCCAAAATATTTTTGGAGTATATTCTTCCTTTTCCTACTTTAGAATCTTTTGTTCTTTTTTCTGAGTAAATGGATGAAGAATATTGTTTGTACAGAGCTCTAAATTAAATTAAATTAAATTAAACTAACTAAATAAACACTGAAGAATATTGTTTGTACAGAGCTCTATTAAATTAAACTAACTAAATAAACATGGTACTGCTGCTTTTTCTATGTATGCTGAGAATTCCCACATTAAGCAGTACAAAAGTAGGGAAGTTTTACATTGAATATATTTGTATCTTGGCACATAAGCAGTTTTTGCAGTTAGTTTGCTTATATTGATAGAAACTGCTTGTATCAGATTTTTCTTTCCAACATACTGCTCTTTCACCCAAATACAATAGTATAAACTTGCTACACTTAGGGTATATCTACACTATGGGATAAGGTCAAATTAAGATATGCAACTTCAGCTACGCAGTTAACGTAGCTGAAGTTGCGTAAGTACCTTAACTCAACTTTTGACACTGTCCACACTGCAGGAAGTTGAAGGGAGAAAACGCTCCCTTCGACTTCCTTTACTCCTCTTGGAAGCAGGACTACCAGCATAGACCGGAGTAACCTGCTCAGTTTGAATTAGCATGTCTTCAGTAGGCCTGCTAATTCAAACCTTGGAAGATCAAGAGCAGCAACTTCGATCTTCACTGTAGCGTAGATGTACCCTTTGAGTTTGAAGAGTTGTCCATTTAGGCCTGATTAAATACAAGTATTGTTGCACCAACTGCAGCCACTCTGATAAGGAGATACTTAGAAAATACTTTAGATTCTTAAGTGTGAAGGGACGTACAAAAGAAATATCATACCAAATACTATTCTTTTAATTGATTTCTGGATCTGTTTCTATAGAAAGAAAATACAGCTCAAGGGCTACATCTACACTGGCATGATTTTCTGCAAGAACTCTTGCGGAAAAGAAGAGTTACTTACCTGTAACTGTTATTCTTCAAGATGTGTTGCTCATGTCCATTCGAATTAGGTGTGCGCACGGCGTACACTGTCTTCTGGAGCGTTTTCCCTAGCAGTACCCATAGTTCTGGCAGGGCGCCCCCAGGAGTGGCGCCACCATGGCAGGGCATAAGTATCCTGCCAGCGCTCCCCCACCTCAGTTCCTTCTTGCTGGATGCTCAGACGAAGGAGAGGTAGGGAGGGAATGGAATGGACATGAGCAACACATCTCAAAGAACAACAGTTACAGGTAAGTAACTGTTCTTTTCTTCTTCAAGTGGTTGCTCATGTCCATTTGAATTAGGTGACTTCCAAGCCAATCCCACTGCAAGGAGGAGGGGTCGGAGCAGAAAGAAGTCCATGAAAAATGAACAATCCAAACAAATTTATTCAACTAAGCGAACACAGAAAAACTGTAGAAAGTGCAATGTGACACAGATAAAACAAACATTTACAATACAGAGCTGAGGACTGCAGAGCCCAACCGAGTCCTCCCTAGCCTGCTGTGCCAGCGCGTAGTACGCTGTAAACGTATGAAGCGATGACCATGTGGCTGCCCCGCAGATTTCAGTGATTGGAACCTGCTCCCCAAAAGCTACAGAGGACACCTGCGCCCTGGTGGAATGTGCTGTAACCCGGGGCGGGATCTTCCAGGCCAAGGCATAACACTCCCTGCGACCCAACTGGACAACCTCTGGATCGATATAGGGAGCCCTTTCATTCTGGCAGCGACAGCAATCAACAATTGTGTGGATTTGCGAAAGGATTTAGTCCTATCAATATAAAAAGCTAGTGCATGTCTAGCATCCAGGGAATGGAGCACTTGCTCCTTAAGGGAGGCATGGGGCTTTGGAAAGAAAACCGGGAGGTAAATTTCTTGGGACAAATGAAATGGTGACACCACCTTGGGGAGAAAATCTGGATGAGGGCAGAGCCTCACATGGTCAGTAAACACTAGGGCTGTGTCTACATTGGCATCCCTTTCCGGAAAAGGGATGCTAATGAGACATCGCAATTGCAAATCCGCGGGGGATTTAAATATCCCCTGCGGCATTTGCATTTACATGGCTGCCGCTTTTTTCCCGCTTGGGGATAAGCCGGAGAAAAGCGCCAGTCTAGACGTGATTCTCCGGAAAATAAGCCCTTTTCCGGAGGATCTCTTATTCCTACTTTCAAGATCCTTTATGCTTTTACTTTCCTTTTGCTTTTTATGATTTTTACCTTTTTCACTCAGAGATCAGACTAGCTGTAGCATGACCTTGGTGAAGCCTTTTGTGTCAAGACTTCTTAAGGGCCTGAAGTCCTCTTGCAAGATCTCAGAGTCCTTATCTGCTTGGTCCCATTTCTGAAGGGGGAGAGGCATGTCCCGAGCTCTCCTCGCTAAACTGGGAAGGAAGAGACCTGTTTATGAGACTTTCCACTTTTCTCAGGGAAGTCAGGACCTATTCTAAGACTGGTTTGGGGGAGAGCTGTGACTTTACAAACCTGGCTCAAGCAATGGCAGAGGACATGTGGCCAAAGCAGTGATGTCAAAAATCGTACTATTATGAGCTGCAGGAGTGAGCAGAGCAGCTTAGAGATCTAGAATTTTGGGAGACACTGGGCAGCAAAAAGTGTTTTCCTGCTGGTACCATCAGCTGGGAGGAGTAATTGCAGGGTAAGCGCTGTTCAACCCCTGCATCCTTTAGTTGAAATATGCTCTGTACAGATGGACTCTTCAGAGACTTTAACTGCCAAACTCTTATCAAATCTGAAGTGAACATGAGTGAATTGACTTGTTCCCAACATTTATAATTTGGCCAAATTTGGGCATTTTGCATGGTAGCAAGCAAAAAGTCTGACATAGTAACTGAAAACAGAGTGCTATAAAAGTTTCAAGAAACCTTAGGTATAGCCAGAGTCACTGGCTCTGCTTCAATAATGAGACAATGAAATTCAACATTGGTAGAAGCAGCTGCAGCTCTACAGTTCAGCCAGGCCCACTAATGTCTGTAGTAAGTTTGGTCCTTTGTATCATTATCTAAATTCAACATGATAGCGAATAGGAGGAGGAATATAAGATTTGAGTGTTTTCAAGCAGAAACAGTATGAAGTTTGGGAAATTTCCTGCTCAAATGGATTGTACATGCCCTTGTGGCAATTGGCTATGAAAGGCCATTTAAAAAGTTGACAGACATTACATCTTTCTTGAGAAGAAATGTTTCCTTTCTTGAGAGCCATTAACTTGTTTTCCAGTAATTGAATCTCACAGAGCTCTGCTGGCTGTTTGACTTGATTTGTGTTTCCAGTTAATGCCAGGCACCTAGACAGGTCATGGGAAACCTTTTTTGGGTCAGGGACCGCTGATCCACAGAAAAATCAGTTGGGGTAAAGGGGACGCACACAGATGAGAAGTCAAACAACACCCAAACCCTCAGGGACGTGGCCCTTGACTGAGAAGAAAGACACTGCCCACATGCCCCTCGCACACCAGAGCCTAGTGGGGCCCAGGTTAGTAGATTTTGTGTGTTCCAGTCCCTCAGTAGGTACAGGTTCCTCAATACTAGGAGGGGAGCCCTGAGCCTCAGGGCTGGATCAATGCAATTCAGAGGGTGGTTCCCCACCCCTGACCTGGACCCTTAGATAGAAGCGCATGTAATTAAAAAATAAAATAAAATAAAACTAGCAAACATTTCCATCCTCATTTTTAATTGTAATTTTAAATGTTAGGATTTTGAATATCAGGTTTACAAATATACACTGCTTTTTTCACCATTAGTATTCTAATTTATCTTAATTCCAAAATATGAGGCAGTCCTGAATCAGGCCTACTTCTAGGATCTAATTAAAGGCTTGCTGTTCTTCTAATTTTTTAAATATATTTATTTATGTACAGTATTTATTTTACTGCCAGTTTGTGCTATGGCAGCCTGGGTTGGTTTAAATCTTACCGTGCCAATCACCACTGGTTTGTTGCTTCTGGTGATTGCTCTTCAGTTCTTGCTGATAAAAATGTCCTGAATCAGGCCTACTTCTAGGATCTAATTAAAGGCTTGCTGTTCTTCTAATTTTTTAAATATATTTATTTATGTACAGTATTTATTTTACTGCCAGTTTGTGCTATGGCAGCCTGGGTTGGTTTAAATCTTACCGTGCCAATCACCACTGGTTTGTTGCTTCTGGTGATTGCTCTTCAGTTCTTGCTGATAAAAATG